CTGCCAGCCCTTCTCGTGACGGTCGCGCGTCCCAGCCAACCTTCACGATCCGTTCGTCCGTCGCGCCCTTGCGCGCCCAGTGCCACTCGCGTGCATTCGCTGCTCGATACCCGTACGTCGCGTACGTCCGTCGTGTTCATTCCCCTATCGCGCGCATCACGACCCGATGCGCGCCTCACGCTCGATAGTCGATCATCCTTGACCCCTTTGCCGTCAGACTCCGTTGGCCTGCCCGATGGCCATGGGTCCCATCCATCCATCCCAATGCAATCACCAACTCTCCAAATCCACCCATCCTCCGTTCTACTCTTACCTCCCTTTCGGGCCACCATCTTGCGAACTCGCCTTTTTCTCGCACAAGGCTTGCACCAACACTTCTCTTCTTTTGCTTTTGCCTTGTGTTTCCTTCGAGCTCGTTTGGTCTTGCTCCTCCTAGGCTTCAACTTTGCTTGTGCACCACATCCCTTTGGCCAGTCTCTTACACATGATGGTCGATTATTCGGGCTTGATGGCAATTCCAACATGTTCTCTAACCATAAAACGAGACCATCGTCACCTTCATCGTCTGACTCACCGGGGTTGATGACCACTTCCGTATCATTCCCCTCCTCTTCGAGACTTTCCTTGTCCTCAAGGATTAAGAAGTTAAGCGCTCCTTCCCCTTCATTGTCCTCAACCACCATCGCTTCTCGGGCTTCCATGAGTTGTCGTTCGTACTCCTCAATATTTCTTCGCTCATGAAGCTCATCAAGATATGTTGCTTCCCATGGTGTGAGTTCTCTTTCCAACCCTTCCAACATCTCAAGATCTTCCCAGTCCAACTCATCCATTGGTGGGTAAGACATAATTAATTTTTTTTTTTTTTTAAGACTCTAAAAAATCGAAAAATAAATGGGGAAAAATTCGAAAAATTCGAACCCCCAACAAGACTCAAAAAATCGAAACAACGAGAAATTCGGCCCCTCAACAAAAGGTAATAACCGAACCAAAAAAATCAAACAAAGGACTAACAAGATGACACTTTTTTTTTATTTAATGAAAAATCGAATAAAAATTCGAAATTTCGACTCAAAAAAAAGAAGAGAAATTCGGTCCCTCACCAAAAGGCAAACCGAAAAAAATAAAAAGATAAGATAGATAACCACACGATCAGCCCCTCTCAATGAAAGCACCAATGATGACGGATCGATCTTTTGTCTATACTGGGTTGCGAATAAACGACGCACTGCGGCCTTCGTTTATCCCCGATAGATGTATCTAGATGACGCACTACGGCCTTCTCCTAGACACCGTGACTTCAAGACGCACTATTGGCCTTC